GGACGGACAGACGGTCGGACGGACAGACAGACATCCGGATTTCAACTCTACTCGTCACCCTGATCACTTTGGTATATATAACCCTATATCTGACTCTATTAGTTTTAGGACTTACAAACAACCGTTATGTGAACAAAACTTTAATACTCTCTTTAGCAACTTTGTTGCGAGAGTATAAAAAGTGTTCTCTACCTCTTCTGGAAATCACATTATTTTCATTATAGAATAAGCCACACATTTTATCGCTTTTAATTTCTTTCAATTTGCATATAACTGGTCGGGCGAAAAAAACGAACCAGCCGTTTGCCATAAGCAATTGTAGCGTCTTACGTCAATGCGTTAGAAGATTGCACAGAAAAAGTTGTTATAATTATTTATACATTACTCAGTACAATTATCCACCTGTCTACATTATTTGACTGTTTACTGTCAAGTAAATATTTACAGCTTTGCCATATCCTCAAACTCGAAGTGTCAACATTGGATGTTTGTGAACACTGAGACACTTTCATACCAAATGACATGTGATACTGACATGCTTACTTTCATTTGCCAAGCTCTCGATTACTTGTTGACGAGCAAACAGAATTTTTAGTGTCAACACAGAAATATTTGTTGCCTTAGAATATCATGCGGCACATGAGGCGAAAGTATCCACGCAAATTAGAAATTCAACGTCAATAAAATTTTCAAAAGTCCGTTTATTGCATGTTTAGGTGCTGGTAATAAAATATTCTGCTATTCGTAGTCCTCCCTTTAATCATTAATGCCGCCAACTGAGGTGAATGAGTATACCAAAGTGCGTTCTTATTTCTTCCATGTCTTGCCTCCTTACTTCATTGTCCGCTGTCGACGCCACAGGCGCTCTCTACTAAATTTTGTTCGCAGCTCGTCCATTCCGTTTGGCGACGAAGCATTTATCGCTTCCGCTTTCCACAGCTGTGCTGCAACGGAACTTTTAATTCGTGCGCGGCCGAGTGTTGTTGGCGGAAGAAAGTGCTCGTAGCGGATATTAAATGAAATTGTTCAACACTGCCACTCGCCACACAGCACACAGCTACTCAAGATTTGTTGTTGTTCCTAATAATTTCCTTATTAAATCGGCCGTTCGATTAGCATATTTATGAGAACTTATTTACTAATGACTTTCATAGCAGCTTCGTTTACTCGACTCGCACAACTTCCGTTTGTGCATTCTGTACGCTTCCGTCTTACGAAATTGCCAAAAGTGGCCTCACATCGATTCTTACTCATTAATTAAGTAAATGCATATAGTACATTCTTTCATATATAAACATATGTATGTATGCATGCACTGTACGTTCATTGTTTGTGTTTACTGGCACACACCTTTCTCTTCACATTGCTGGCCTTCAGCAATTTGCATGTCAAACATTTTGTAGTTTCTCRAGTTTCTGCTGGCAGGTTGTTGCGGTAGCTGGCACAGTTCAACAAACTGCTCGACGTTTTATTGGCACACTGCCACACAAATTACAAGCTCTTTGTTTTAGCAGCGGAAGTGCTTGTTTCCGAACTATAAAGGTACATAAACATTTTTATGGAAGCGCTGCTTTCAGCTCCTTTGCTAAGCAGGTACTCAGCGTGGATTGGTTGACGAGCTCGCTTGTCACTCGCGCAGTTGTTTCGACTTCGGAGCAACCATGGCTGGTGGCTTTTTCAGACTTTTTTCAGGAACAATTTGTTCAGTCCAAAAAAAATCTAGCTGTACGCGAGATTGCTAATCTTCATAGCTGGAGGAGTAGGCAAGACGAATAACGGCACAAAAAAGCGTGAGAATCAAACTTTACGAGATTCTCGTAATAGTCTTAAGCAATTTTGTCCGGCTTCCCTATTCTCATACTATACTTTGTCTCTATAAAACTATTGTCTATTGGCTAAAAGTATTAATGTCGGCTAAATCACTCATTATAAATATTTGCATTAATTTGATTCAATTTATTTCTAATTTATTCCAAAGCAGTTCAAGAGTTCGCATATAAATATGTATATTATTTCGAGACGCAAAAGCTGCTTAAGACGGCTCTGTCGAAAATCAAAGCAAGCAAATTGCAAGCTTTCTTATCAATTAGCACAAGCGTGAAGCGGCATTCACCAGCTGCGCAAATTTGCTTATCGCCCGCATACCAATAGCGAACATATAGACATACATATATGAGATTTAGTCAACTGCCACCATATAAACCAAAAGGTGATCCATTTCGAGGTTCCCTACTTTTTTTTTTTTTTAATGAAAAAACACGTAAACTACAAATCCGAAAGAACATTTTTTGATATTTATTATGAATGAAACTCGTGATGTTCTGCTCCAAGGCTTGAATCAAAGCGGGATGGTCCGCATAGGTTTTAGTCTTTATGTATCCCCCCAGGTAGAAGTCCAACGGTGTCACATAACACGATCTTGGTAGCCAATCGACAATCGCGATGATTCCATCGGTCTACAAACCACACCAAACCGTTTTTTTTTTCTGGATGAAATGACAGTTCTTGAATCTCTTTAGGTTGTTCTTCGTCCCAAATAAGGCAGTTTCGCATGTTTGCAGAGCCATTGAGCCAGAAATGGGTCTCGTCGCTGAAAAAATTTGGCTCGAAAACGTCAGATCTTCGGGGAACTTTTTAAGAGCCCATATAACGGAACGATGTCGATCTCTGTGTAAAATGCGCCAAGTCGTCCATACGTCAGTCTGAGTTGCTGCGAATGGCGTCGAATCGACTCTCCACGGTCTTCCTGTATTCTCTAGTTTTTTTTTCTTTTTTTTTCATCTCTGCGTACTGGATGTGGTATATAAGTTAAACGAAGCGCGCGAAAACATTCTCTGTAAAAAAATGGCTGTTAAAAAAAGTTCCTCTACATGGATCACCCGCTACATGCTTACGGCTCTTTGCAAATACTTGCAATAGTGGCAAAGAGATACCGCACAGAGAACTCACATTGAAATGAAACTAAATAACGGTATGCGATTTGCACTAAAGCTGTCGTCAGCGCCTCACGGCGCTACAGACTACAGGCTATAACATAGACACTACGTAAACACCACCTTGCCCCGTTCGCTTTACGCTCTAAGCAGAATGCTGCCCGTATTTAAACAGTAGCGAAGCGAATGACAAATAACTAAAGTAAACAACCGTTAGGAGTTGGACAAATGGAC